GGAATTTGATTTTCGCGGGCGCGAATCAAGTTTTTGCTTGACTTTTGAGGCTCGATTAGCTCTAACTCAACGCATGCTTCTCCGATTGACTTGAAATTTTGACCTACGTTCCTCAAATATTTTTCTCCTCCTCTCGGGTGACTCTCCAGCATTTTCCAGTAAATTTATTGCCGACTTTCTGGAACACGCTTTCCCTACAAAATAAAAGGAAAAAAGAGAAATAAAAAGCACAAGACACCAAAACGAAACTAGAACACAAAAACAAGCAAATACGACTAAATGGACCGGGAAAAACCTAAAATAAAATAAAACGAACACAAATAAAACACATAAAAACACAGAAAATAACAACAAAAACATACAAAACAAGCTTCGAGACATCAATCGTTGTATCTTTGGGAACGAGACGCCTGAACACGTTAGCACATTACGTGGTTGCTGAACGTAAGAACCGAACCTTAAAAGAAATGATAAATGCATGTTGATAAACTTAGGATTACCCCAAAAACATGTTGGGGAAGTTGTTTTAACAGCAAATCATATCTTGAATAAAATACCACCTAAAGGGAGAAATGAAAATTTTTACGAAATATGAAAAAATCGTAAGCCGTCTGATAGTGTGGGGGTGTTTGGCTAAGGTTTTGGTGTCTGAACCCAAACAAATGAGAATTGGACCAAAGACGGTCGATTGTATTTTTATTGGATATGCGTACAACAGTACTGCATATAGATTTCTGGTTCATAAATAAAAATATCCGAAGGTATCAGTTGGTACCACAATTGAGTCGAGGAATGCTATATTCTTTGAGAATATTTTTCCGCTGAAGAAAATTGCAGAATCTAGTTCTTACAAAAGGACATATGAAACTGCTAGTGGTTCTGTACCGGATGGTACTAAAACATAAGATGAAGAACTGAGACGTGGTAAAAGGGTAAAAACGGCAAAAATGTTTGGACATGATGTTATTACTTACATGTTGGACAATGAACCGAGTTCCATTAAGGTAGCTTTGTCCATCCTAGATAGAACACTCTAGAAAGAAGCTAAATAACGAAATCGAGTCCATTATGCAAAATCATACTGGGGAGTTGGTTGATCTTCCTGGAGTTGTAAATATTTAGGTTGTAAGTGGATCCTAAAGGGAAAATACAAAGTTGATAGAACGACTGATAAAACAAACAGAAGAGTATGACTTCTTTGATACCTGTTCACCAGTTACACGTATAACATCGATAAAGTTGCTTCTCTCGATTGCTGCTTTGCACAATCTTGAGATCAGATGGATATCAAGATGACATTCTTGAATGGGAAATCGGAAGAAGAGATTTATATTGAACAACTTGAAGGTTTTATAGCACCTGGATAATACGAAAAAGTGTGCAAGTTGATCAAATTCTTGTAGAGACTGAAACAAGCTCCAAAATAGTGGCATTTAAAATTTGATGATATGTTGTCAAATGGTTTCAAAATAAACGAATATGACAAATGTGTTTATGTTAAAAGCCTAACTAGAGTCGATCACGATCCAAATTTGAGCACCAGAAATTGCCACAGAAGCCTAACTAGAGCCGAAACCCGAGACTCTAAACCCGCACCCTAGCAGGTGACCCCAACCCATCAGCCGGAGGATAGCCGAACAGCCCCCCCTCCCCACCGCTCCACTCCCAGTCACACGATGGTCGAGCCTGATGCGACGACCATCCTGTCCTCCCTAACACCAGGGGAGAATGGAATAAATGGGAGGAAGGCAGCTGCCCTACGCCCCGACCACTTAATCGGCAATCAAGACCACAACCCGCCCCCGCCTCAGCACCGTTGCTCGTCTCCACCTCGACGCCATGGAAACCGACAACCTTCAACCCAGGATGGCAATCGAATTAGGGGAGATCCAATCGGGAGAGCCGACCAATTCCACTGCACGAGAGGGGGAACCAACACCTCAATGGGTCCGTGTGGCACAACAAGGAGCCGGCCACCGTTGAGGAGTCCAGCGGCCCCACCAGAGAAGGCAAGAGAAAAAGTTAGTGCACGACCAAAGAGAATATTGAGTTCAGCGGAGAGAAATAGAGAGAGAAATTTGGGGTACCGAACACTTGATTGGAATTATAGAAAAGTGGTCGAATGTCTAAATTTGACTTTTTTTATACTTCAATAAATTCAGATCAAGTTTTTTTTTTTCTCGAAACAACTAATTCCTTAACTAAAATACGTAATTGCAGCTGGCGAAATAGCCGGAATAAGAGGACTATTTGAGGCAACCTAGATACCACGACGCACACTACAAGATGAAAAGAAAAAATAAAAAACTTCCAACAAGAGAACACACAAGCTCCCAAAGGGAGAATAACATGCTCCTCCGAAAGAGGAGAAAACAAAACACTGCACGAAACAAAGACACCCATAAAACACAAACAGAATAATAAAACATAAATAATTAAACAAGTGCCCTTCCCGAAACAGCAAAGCCAAACTGAATACCAAGGACGTCGACACCCACGGGCGACTACCCACACGAATAGAAACCCGGTGCAAGCCATAAAGCCAGAAATTGCAGAAAGATCGCCTAGCCAGATCTGTTAGAGCACCCACATGCATTGGGTCTAATTTTACATATGTGGTATATAGATGAACTTAAGCCCTAAATGGCATGGACAAACCCAAGTAAAAAAACTCAAAAGCTATTCAATGCAAAAATAAAATACTAGGTATAGAATACATGTCAACCAATAAAAATGTTCTAATATGTTTATTTTATTAAAAGAAAAATTAAATTAGGAATAAATGATGAGTGTTAGGTTTGTACATAGGTCCAAAATAGACCCAAGTGTGGACTTGGTCTCTTTTTTTGATTGTCACATAAGCTAGACTATGTCCACTTTTAATTGCATTGGGAGATATTTTTTTATAGACTAAGTCTATTTCCTACTTGGCATATGATATTTTATTAAGAAACTCAATTAATTGTGGGTGCTCTTAGTCTAAATTTTAATAGAATAACCCTCCAACCCAACATCACACAGTTCCCAATTCTATGAGTGTGCTTGGATACAAATTAGTTAAAAAAAAATCCAGATTTGCACTTTTCATATCCGAAAATGATTTAAGAAATCTGTTATCTATCTGCACCTTATGTGGGGCCCGCCATTTTGGGTCTATCACCAAATCCTTTTCAACATAATAATATCAAAATAATTTTGACATGGGTCCTGCCATTTTGGATCTATCACCATTATTTTTTGGTTTCACACCGAAAAAAACGTTGTACCATAAAAAAAAAAGCGAAAAAACGAAAATCATACGACTAGCATGGTCATATATATTAGCAAAAGTAAACAAGCTGAATCAGTAGTTGTTCGTCATTGGTTGCGTCCATGTGCCAGCGGTTTCAGAGTATTCTGTTGCATGTCCGCTGTCTGCAGTTGTTTGTGAAGAATTGCCGTGACCACTCCGGAATGTACTCTGACTTGGTTGTGAAGAATATTGACGATGAACATCGTCCGCCCAAATGAAACACTGGTGGCGTTGTTGCCGAGCAGTACATCGGAAAAAATACTTTCCGTAGTTTTTTTCAGTTTTAGCAATTAAAAGGATCATACGACCCTGCCCACAATAGCAGAAAGGAGCTTCCATATTAAAACTTTTTCTATAGACTTTTTTTTTTTACTGGTATGATGGTTTGTGCAAGAAAAACTCCCACAGCAAACTCCCATTTTATAGTATGAGTCTTCCCGCGTGTTGTAGCAAAATTTCCATTTTTTTTTTGTTAAGTTGAGTATGCAAAAGCCGGGAATCTCGCCTGCATCCCATTCTTTCAATTTGATTGGTCAAAGAAAGAGGGTAGGGCTGTTGTATTATCTTCCCAAAAAAAAGAGAAAAAAAATAAAATAAAATAAAACGCAGGCTTTTGTTCAGCATGGGCGCCATAGGGAGGGGCCTGAATTTTCAGATATTCGCAGCATGGTCGCGGTATGGACGTCCCTCAGTCCTGATTTTACACATCTTCTACAGCATGGTCTTCATGATAAATTATGGGCACAACTTTTGCTTTATTTATCACAAGTGGTAGCATGTGAGCAATATGGACGTCCCTCAGTCCTGATTTTACACACCTTCTACAGCATGGTCTTCATGATAAATTATGGGCACAACTTTTGCTTTATTTATCACAAATGGTAGTATGTGATTCCCAATCTCAATATGGGAAGTGATATGTGCAAGTCCTTTTTTTTATTCACCAATGCAGTATGTATTATATTAATATATTAATACTAGTACAACTACTAGCATCTGCATGACAAAGTCATCTTCATTAATACAGCCTTTGCTTTCTTTATTACAAGCCTTTTCTTTATTACAAGTGGTAACATGTAATATAATAAATAGTTTATGTAAATGTTGGTTTGTAATACAGGTTGCACCAATTGATTTATTTTGCATGATACAGTTCACAATAATCCATATAATAATTTAAAAAAATTAATATAGTGAAACTTACGTAAAAAAAATAAAAGAAAGAAAACATTGTTGTACAATTATTTTGCAAAAGGTCATACTTAAGAAGATAGGAAGATAGAAATGGTAGAATTAAGAAAAAAAGCAAATATTGTCAATACACTGTTGTCTAGTTATTTGCTTCTGCAATCATTTTTTTAAAGTTATCATGTTTAACTAGAACATATTTTTTAAATACAAAGAAAAATAACATTTATTAGACACAAATCGAAGTTGTTTTTCCGTAGTTATTTTTTAAATTTCAAGATGTTATTTCCTTTTGTTAAGACAAAATCATTGTGAAAATGATGTTCATGAGATGGTTATTTAAATTTAAAATGGTTCCATAATTCTACTTCATGTGATTGTGCCATATTAAAAGGTAGTTTAGATTTGGGACAGTTTCATTCAATCCGCGCGTTACACCTTTCGTTCACTAATCTACACGCCATCACGGTTTTAAAGAATTATAAAAATAATTTACCGTAGAAGAGGAAGTTTAAAGAAATCTTTATTCATTTAGGCAAAGCAGGTACAAACACTTCGCAACATTACATAATACATAAATTGAAAATACATTGACACTGTTAATCGAACAATGCAGCCAAAATGGTTTTTATTTTTGAACGCCTCCTTCTACGCGCCGTCTGGCGTGCCTCTTCGGCCCAATAGTCGGCTATCAATTGATCAAACGTCGTAAAATCTGAGTGCCTTTTCCAAAACTCTTCATCCGGGTAGTTGTTCAGGCTTAAATCGGCAAATGTCCTCATAAGGGTATCCCACATAGGCTCTGGATTGTTAAAATAATGCTCTCCTAGTGGCCAGTGCTAAAGCATATAAAAGTAAACTAGAAACAACGTGAAGCATGATAAAGTACGTGATTGAGTTTTATGATATTGTTTTGCGACAAATAAAGTAGACACTAAAAATGAAAGATGAATTTCGGTTACCTCGATTGCAATCTCCCGTTGATACCCGTCAAGATGTACGTATTTATCGTTGACGTCAAAAACCGCGTTCGGTGTGTCGATCAAATATTTAAACGTACGGTACCTTTCTTTTAGGACCATGAACGTGACAACACACTCTTTCAAGGTGAGATTCGGATCAATTTCTGTCAAACACGCTTGGTGAATATTTTCAAAGGCGTCCAGGATGTCAGATTCTTTTGTCATGCCCTCTGTCTCAACAAATCTTTTGACTATTACATAAAATAATTCCTCCTTAGATGAATTTCATTTATGGGCAAATCCTTCTCGCACAAATTGAAAGTGTGCACTCTTATTTGTGGGAAAGGGAAAGGGAAAGGTTAACATGTTTGCTTGGAAGGTGTGTGTTGGGCAGGACACATGATGAAGTCTATTTAAAAGCGAAAACAAAAAAATAAAAAATAAAAAATAAAAAATAAAAAAACATGAAGGTGTGGGTGAGGAAAATAATTGTAACCCATGGGTCCTTTTTCATTATTATAGTTGGTTGAAATTAATTTGTGTTCGTTAAACTATATTGTCCGTGTGATGCACAAGACACATAATATTAATCTTTCGGTTCAATAATATGTATTGTGCTTTCATTTTACATACTACCAAAAATAATAATATATTAATTTTTTTGGTAAGTGTGTATGAGTAGTACTAATATATAATATATATTAGTATATATTGTACTAATATATACATATCTTAGTATATATGTATATACTAATATACCAATATTAGTATCGTATATTGAAAATATAGTGGACACATGAGTTTTTTTTTATAAGTGTGTATGACGATTTTCTGTTCATACATATAATACATGTAAACATATATTGATGGGTCTACTCTCAGATCTGGAGTGAACCGGTGGTAAGGAGCTCAGATCTGTTTGAATCGCCTTCGGATCGTTGCTAGACCGCGAGAATACTGGCAAAAACTCAACGCCGGAGGTGTTTCCGGCGTAGAGCCTCCGACGCTCAAGTCAGTATGAGAGTGATGAAGAGAGGCTGCACAGCAGCTATGAGGGAGAGTGGAGAATGAATGAGAGTTAGGGTTTAGGGTTACCTCATCTCCTTTATATAGGAGTGAATACTTACATGAAGTACCCGAAATGCCCTGGTCGACTTGTGTGAAAGGTCCAAAATACTCCGGTCGGTTCATCTCCCCTTTGCTGCTGAGTCATTACAAGATTCTCTCTTATCTGTTGGAGGATAAGAGACTTTAAGAAACACTACAAGTATATCGGATCGTCAGAGCTTCACGCCTCGTGGCGCAGGAGGTCGACCTCAAGTATCAAGAGATCGACTTGAGGCTTTCAGCCCATTCGAAGGCTATGGTCTTGTTATTCTTCTTAAGTCGACTTACGGGAGTCGACTTGCGGGAGTCGACTTATGGGAGTCGACTTAAAGGAGTCGACTTGCGGGGGTCGACTTGGGGAAGTCGACTTCTGGGAGTCGACTTGCATGGATTTAGTTCTTCTTTGCATTCGGCACAGAATCGACATTGAAAAAGTCGATTCGAGCCTGTCGACTGGAACATGTCGACATATGGCCGACCTAGCCGGTCTTCCGGTCGAGTGGAATGTCCTTGGGCCGGAATATGATAATATGGCTATATCATATATAAATATAATATAATATAATACATAAATATATAAACATATATATATATATATAATATAATATCAACGATATGGTATTCATATATATATATATATAATTTATATATATAAACAATCTTTTAATCAAAGAAATCTGTATATATATATACATATATATATATATTTAAAGATATATTAACATAATGTAAAACATATATATAATTAGGTTCATATCTATAAATAATATATATAATGAGTTTATAACGTATTTGTTTTTTTGGGTTTCTATCACACGATATAATACAATATATGCATCCGATAACAAATATAAGATGGTTACTGAAATGTTGAGTACTAGTAAAAGTCACGGATGTTACACGAAGAACAACCTGTTAAATCAAATAGTTAGGACGAAACGGTAAAAATACATCAGTGAAGATTTTCGTTCACATGATCCTCCCAGAGAGCTGTTGCAATGTTATCACGCCATGTACATTGCTCTTGTTCGCCGGCCGTCGACGGACCCACTCTATCCATAAAAAGGAATGCCATATCATCCGCATCATGTTGGGGAACAAAATCGGGCTGTAACCACGCTGCCGGTGTCGTATTCTTTTCTTGATGCGTCAGTATAAAATTGTGTAAAACACAACAACCAACAACCATGTCCGTCTGCGACTTAAGGGAGTACCTAGGCATTAAATTCTTCAATATAGGAAACTTATTTTTAAGGAGACCAAAAGACCGTTCCACAACATTGCATACAACTGCATGCCTTTTATTAAATAGTTCACGGCAATTTCTCGGGGTCCTATTTGACCCGATCCACTCGCGCAGATGATATCTCTCGCCGCGGTATGGCGCCAAAAAATCGGGATGATTTGAATACCCAGAATCAAGAACATAATATTTACCTACAAATATTTCATTACATTAAAAAGTACACAAGAAATAGTGAATTTATATTCAAAAACACTTATTTAATTAAAAGAGATAATTTGAGAAGGCGGACATACCCGGTGGTGGAAAAGGGAATTGATACTTCGGATTGGACAACGTATCTTTGAAAATTCGGGCATCATTAGCACTACATTCCCATCCTGCCAACACGAAGGTGAACTTCATGTCTAAATCACAGGCGACCATGACGTTCTGCGCTAGATATCCTTTTCTGCATCTGTAAGCCCCCTGGTGACCATGTGGAACCCATGCTGGTATTATGGTGCCGTCAATTGCGCCGATGCAATCCTATTAGTAACGAGAGTTAAAGGTTAGTGAAGAGCACTGGAAGAAGTAAAATCATACGACTACACAAAAATTGTCACCTTGAAAAACGTATACAAATTGTTATTATTGCGTATCCAAGCCGGCACCCGATTCACGTCTGGGGGTAGGATGTAGTCCAGGACCATATCAGCGAGGGCGGTTATAATGATATGACAATGTCGTGAAATAGTTTCAGTAGATCGTCTGAATGTTTCAGCTGAATGCCTATGTCGTTGATGTCTTTTTATTGTGTGCAAAAAAATACCAACACTTTCTTGAATGCAAACTTTTCTTTGCTTGTGATGTCCATGAACACCTCTCCTTTGCATTTCTTCACATAGACGATGGAAAACTTGTTTATCGACACCCCTAGCGTAGTAAAATCTCCTAGGGTTCCCCTGTAGAAGCTCGTTTACCCATTGCATTCCCGTAATGCTTGACTCGCGGAAGGGTTTTCTCTGGCGCCGTTCGAATGTGGACGGAGAGCTTTCCATAAGTCGCACGATTTTTTTTAAATGTGACACAAAAATAGTGCCTAATTTAATTGCTCGTGCAATTTTAGAAGGGCGCCTTTTCACATCTTTATCTTGTACAATATCTTAATCCATTTGATCGTTTGCTTCGAAAGGCCCGGTGGATTCGTCTTCCGTCTCCATAATGTTGTCTACGTCGTCATATCCATTAGTGTCGTTTACGTAAGACAACCTACAAATCATTTTAATTGAGAATAGAAATATATATAATGATACAAGACACATAAAATATAAAAAGCAAATAATGAGGGAAAGAAGCAGTCCAAGCAACTCCTAAAAAAAGCAGGCACACAAAATGTTCAATACACAACCCCTACAATAGCGAGTTTAGTTAATGAGTGAAACAAGCAGTCCAAGAAAATAAAAAGCAACCACAGACAAGTTCTCGATAATCATATCGCAAACAAAGATTCTTCGTCGCGTTGTCAGCCACTTCCAGCACCCTCCTCAACCCAAACCTCTACAAGTAGGCGTCGTTTCCGGTCATTCACCATGTTCAGAAACATATGACGGGCCATCGCATCTGGTATCTTCTTCAAAGCAACCAGGCAGACTCGGAAGCTCCATAGCATCAAGTAGAAGCAGCGCCTTCTTCTGCTCCTTTTGATCCGGTTGCTCCTCCTTCAGACGTGCTAGTGTGTAACTCATGTCTCTCACGGACTCCTTCATAGAGTGGAGTACAGATGCCGATTCGCCCATTCTTTGCTTCCGTTTGCTCCTTCCACTTGTTCCGTTGGACTGCGGTGACAACATATCCTCGTCCTCTCCAACGGAATGCAATGGCCTACTCCGCCGACCTAATTCTTCATGCCCTCCCATGCTTCCTCGCACTTCTCCTCGCTGAGTCGACGCACGCGCATAGCGGCCAGTTGCGGTCGAACCAGAAAAGATGGTAGTTAATTCTTTGTAGTGTACACACGTCTTCCTCTTGAGATCATGATCTTGATTTCTCTGCGTCACGGAAGGAGAAATAGGAAAACACACAGTTCATGAATTATATCAAACAATTACAGAAACAAGTAGATAAGAACAACATATATAATCAACCAAAACAAACAACAAAAACATGTTCACCAAAACCCATTCAAAGAAATGACCTCAGCCTTAATTTCTTTAAAAAAAAAAAACCAACAAATGGCCAACCTCATGTATCTCAACCTGTGAAGAATAAAAAAGATAACCAAATCTCAGCCTGTGAAGAAAAAACCTGTTGTGAATAGTACCAAACCAAAAATAGTAGCCTGCCTACTCATACACTACAAACAGCAACTTCATTCTTCTCAGCCCATTTCCTTCATTGGCCCAACAAACAGCAAGTTCATACACAACCAACAGTTCTGGAACATAAAAAAATGGAAATATGCCAAAACAGAGGACATTAATCTATATAATGTAGCATCATATATAATTATTATTACCAGAAGTAGCATCATAATTTATGTGATTTTTCTAGCAGCAGTATAATATACCAATGTAATTGCAAGCAACAGAGAGAACGGGTGCGCATTAAGTTAAGAAATAATCAATACGCGGTGAAGTTAAGTTGAAACACAAGTACTAGCATACACTTTCAACAACAGTCATGGATCAAATTAAAAAAATGAACTTCTAAGTTGAAATGGAACTTACAGCGCACCACTTTCCCCAAGCTTGTTCGTTGCCCGTGATGGCACCACGCGTTTCATCCCAACCGAAACCAGTTGCATTATTACGCAAGTTGTAAAACCTCGCCCAAGTATATTTTAGCCGTCTGTACTTACTTTCAACTTGCCTTGTGCTGTACTTATATTTCATCGGGCAATTGGCATTGAGTTTCTCCGTCATTTGAACCAATTGCTGTGGAGTGAATTTGCCGTCGACGCAATTTCCTTCAAGAACCTCATCTAACATGATGTCGATGAAGCATTTTTCATTCTCTGGGGGCCATTTGGCTTCACCTTGGGAGCTGTTCCCATACTCTTGTTCATAACTCATGGACATCTATAATTTCATACAACTCAAAAATGTGTTCCAATGATTTTAATTTTTCAGATTATTGTTGTGTCACAAGGTTGCAGGTATAAACCGTTGAACCCAATATAAGAACAATACAGAGAAAAAAGAGAAAAGCTTCAGTAATTATTCACCAATATTAACAACATAGCAATGAGTGGACAGTAATAAAGGAAGTTGAAAAATGAATGTGAAAATAACCATGTCCGTCTGCGGGGACACTGATTTCTTCACCAATGCCAAATTGAAGTTGAACAAAAACTGTTCATAAACCCTGTGAACGCTCGAACAGGTAGAAACGAAAATAATGTGGGCGAAATACCCAATTACAAAACCTATTCTTCATGTCGAAAATTCCTAAAATTAACTTTACCTTTCTCTTCTTTTTTTTCTCCGGCGAATTCACAGAAACGCTCCCCGTGCTTTCCGTATGCTCCCGAATAGCGGCTTCACCTACTTCGGCCGATCAATGTGGAGGTGTAATTGGTCGTTTCTGTGGTGCTTGCCTCTGGTCGCCGGCCCTCTGTCCAACACTGCCGCCGTGAATCGGAGAATCAAAGAACGAGGTCGTGTTGCGAAGAGCTTCTTCCTCGGGCATCAATGTTGGTGAAGAAGAAGGATTAGACATGTCCACGGGTCGAACCGGCCCGCCGAACCGGCCCGGATTTAGAAGAACTACGTGGACTTTGATTCCCAAATAAAGGGATACGTAGGCACCTTATTTAACATTATTAAGTTCGAGTATAATTTTTTGGCAACAAAATTTTTCATCGTACACGATATTCGAACTTAATAACTGTTAACTAAGCTCAAGTCCATTACATTAATAATTTTTTTCTTTACACTTATTCGACTTCATTTGACGTACAATTTAACATTTCTAAACTACCTCAAGTTGTACTTCTCCGCCATACTCAATAAAATACAACACCGTTAACCGTTTGGTTCCAAGAATTGACGCCCGATCATTATTTTTGTTTCATTTTGAAATGATATAGACAAACACACTAAAAAACTTATATTTTCGAAGTATATACAAACTATTTATTCAAATAAACATTAATATACATTAAAATAACAAAAAAAAAAAAATTAAAAACCCGCAAACCCGCCGGGCCCGACCCGGAACCGCCTCGACCCGCCGGGTTTGCGACCCGGCGGTTAAGGGCCGGTTCAATGAACCGGCCCTTTGTTACAAGCGGGCCGGGCCCGGTTCAGTCCACGGTGAACCGCCGATCCGGCGGGCCGGGCCGGGTTTCGACCCGGCCCGGCAAATGGACACGTCTAAGAAGGATTTTGTGGGAGAGATGCCATCGTTCTGTGTGGGTTTTAAAATGAAGGAGAAGATGTTTGCGTTGAATCGAGAAAATTTTTGATAAGACATTGCAGCTGATTTTTTATTTGGAGTAAATATAGCTTTTACAGCTGTAGAAATGGGGTGACCGACAAAACTAAATGCAACTTTCAGGTGGGACCCGTGAAGTTAAAAGGAATTTATATCCAAGATAATTTATACAGTAAAATCCGAAATTTTCCGAACAAAACTTGCATCCAATCAACTCCTATACTTTCTATTTTTCCAAAAAGCCCCTAAAGAAATAGCGTATCACCACCATTGATTATTGGACAACGTATTGATAAAGAGTAGAGATCCCACCATGCGATAATGAGACGTACACATCACAAGGAGCCAGTGTGATGTGAAGTCTACTCAGCAAGCAACAATATTCAAAAAAGAAAATAAAAACCCTCAGATCTTATCCAAATGCATTAAAAAACATTAAATCCAAGAAAAAATAAAAAAGAAAAGCCATATGTCTAAATTCCATTTGCAAAGTCTTATCTGCAACACATTAAAATCAGCGTCCCTGCGCCACAAACACGCACTGTAATTCCCCAATAGAACCTCTTTCTTCCTCAAATGGCTTTTTCCTCTCTCCATTTTCTCCTGATTTTCCCACTCATTTCCCTCGTCCCCGCCTCCATTTCTCAGAACCCCATTTTACCAAAAGCTGCAATTTTTTCTGTCAAAAAGGATTTGTCAACCCATCAGTATGTCTCCAAACTTTTCATGGGCGAAAATCTCGGCCCGATCGAGCTCGTTCTAGATCTCAGCGGCCCGTTTATATGGGCCGACTGCGGATCCATCTCCGCCTCCGGATCTCAACAGCCCATCAACACCTGTTCGCTCAAGTGCTCCATGGCCAGGCCCACCAAGGGCTGCTACTCTCCGGGGTACAACTCCAAGAGTTGTACCTTGCCGGCGGAGAACACTCTGTCGGGTGCTTCTGCTTCCGGCGAGATTCATGAAGATGAGATAGCTATCGAGTTTTGGGCCGGGTCGGGCCTTCCGAGCTCATTCGCCAAAAATGAGAGATTTTTGTTCTCTTGTGCCCCAAACTTGCTGCTAAAGGGGCTGGCTAACGGAGCTAAGGGCGTGTTTGGCTTGGGCAGTTCAAGAATTTCGCTCCCTTCACAATTGTCCACCTCCTTTGGGTTTTTTGACCGGAAATTCTCCTTGTGCCTGCCGACGTCATCAAATGGGGCAGTTTTCCTAGGCGGGAGTCCCCACGGTAGTGAAATCTCGAGCCCGATGATTTACACGCCTCTGTTTTTGGAGAAAAATGGCGTACGAGATGGGAGTTACTACATAAATTTGGGCTCCATTAAGATTTCCGGTAAGAAACTGTCTTTGCCTGAAAATGGTTTTGTCCGGACAAAATTGAGTAGTGTTGTGCCTTACACCACTTTGGAGAGAAAAATATATGCGGCATTTGTTGATGCTTATATTAAGGCTGCTAATGAAGTGAATTTGACTATGGTTTCGAGTGTGGCCCCGTTTGATGTGTGTTTTAGCTCAAAAGCAGTGGAGATCATGAAAATGGGGCCAAATGTGCCGATTATTGATCTGGTTTTGCAGAGTGAGATGGTTAAGTGGAGGATTTCGGGCAAGAACTTGATGGTGTTTGTGAGTGATGATATCATGTGTTTGGGATTCTTGGATGGTGGGATTAATCCCAAGGACTTGATTGTGATTGGTGGTTATCAGATGGAGGATTATTTGTTGGATTTCAATTTGGGAAACTCTATGCTTGGGATTTCACAATTGGGGATTGGGGGAAAGAGATGCTCTGACTTTGTGGCCTCTAAGGAGGTTTTATGATTTTTGGACAATTAATGTGAGAAAACTTTTGGTTTTGATTGAGGTCTTTCTGTATAGCTGTTGGCTTATTATGTATAATAATTCTGATCACTGTAATAGTAAATGTATTGTCCATGTCTTTCTCATGTGGATACAATGAGAATTGGTGAAAGCTCTTTGAGTAATTTGGATTGATGGAGATGAAAATGCAATATACGTGTCCTAATTATCGGTTTCTATCAACAAATCTTGTTTATTGGTTTCTATTGTTTGGTGGCCAACTTTTGTGTCGCATTTGTGAATTTCTGGTTAAATAGGTATTCGCAGTTCGTTAACATTTAACAGACCTAAAAATAGGCCTAATCAAATTCAGATCAGTTCTGATTTCACTCGCTAGAAATTCATCAGTTAATGAGTTTGATTTTTATTTTCAGATTTGATTGTAACCAAAAGAGAATGAGAAGGAAAAGGAAAAGAATATCCATCTGTGGAGGGGACTGATTTGTATGCTGCTAATTTTACATCACCATTACCTGTAGTAAGATATCTTGTTCCCAGAAAAGACTGATTATGAGATACATAGAATCTATTCATTAATTAATGACATTTATGTTTGCACTAAGCCCATCTGCTTTTCTAGCTTTATATATGGTTTACTCTTTTAGCACTGAAGCAATCAAAATAATGGTGACGATAAGTCGATAACCATCATAGAATATGACCACACTAACCTTCAAATTTCGACAAAGATTTTACCGACAGCATTTTCAAGCTCTTCAACAGCCTCTTTCGATAAATTTGGCAGACCTCAACTCTTTATTTATATCATCTATGGGAATCTTTTCAAATAGTTCAGAAATTTTTTCTTTAAGAAACAGAAAGACAGCATTTGGGGAATAGCAGAAATGAAATATGCATGAGAGAAAGAGGTGCCAAGGGGCAAAACTACATTATTTCACAGTTGTGTAATGAAATATAACACATATATATCACATGTTACGAAATCCAACACGACACTATAAGAATAACTCAAGAACTCAAATAAACCACACTCAATTAGACATTCAATTAGATGTTTGTCTTGATATACGACAGTACGGAAGATAAAAGCATCTGTCAAAGAACTCGTGATCAATTTACTTGGTGGAGGTTTTTTCAAGACATAAAAAAGCGTTATGTCACTAATATAGAACGTTAATATGCTCTTCCCTGCCAAAAAAAGAAAAAAATCTGGTACTGAACAGTAATATACAATTTCTTGCAGAACATGTACAATGCGAGAAGCAGTACATATCGTCAAGTATATGTGCACTTTGTTAGAAACAAAATGCAACATGCAAAGCCAAAAACTAATGATACGAACACTATAATTTGAAGTAAATCTTTTGGAATTACGAACGAAAACGTCTATGAATATGCATTTGTGCTCGATTATGTAAACCTGAAGGCTAAAGTCTGATGCTGTGATGCCAATGTGCTTGAATAAGGTGAGAATAGCATGAAGCAGCTCTACCTTAGCCTGATACAAAACTTATATTTCGGGCAACTGCTTGCCACATAAATGCTATGCATGTTAGAATATCATCTATCTATAATTTATAATCTACAATCTATCTATAGCTATAATCTCCCTTATATATAATTCTCAAATGTGTTCGCATGCTTCGAGATGTTATTTGTTATAATTGTATGCTTTGGATTGAGACATAATTAGGCTCGAGTGCCATATCAAATGTCAATTAGGCATGATTATTTCCATAATACATTCAATATTTTTCTTTATTTAAACAACCATTATTTATTTCATTCCATATTTTTCTCGCATAGTTACCATAATACTTTTTCTTTTTATTTCATTTTTTTTTCTATTACATATCTTCACTTCAATCGATCATATTAATATATTTCTCAATCTTTCTCTCCAATATTAACATATTACTCATTTTGAAGATGAACTAATATGATATTATTCTTTTAAAAATGATATTTATTTAAAATTTAATTGGTATGTTGTCGATCTAATAAAAATAAATAATTAATTATCCAAATTCTAAAATTACATATAAAGTTAAAAAAATATAATTTGACATCCAAATTCTAAAATTATATACGGGTGTTTAACTATTATGATTAAAAAATGAAGTTTGACAACTTAATTAAAACACAAATTATTTTAATTTAAAAAAATTAAAATAAAAACTTTAATCTCTTTATATATGCTTCTTTATTCAACACCCGTGTAATATATGAGTACTATACTAGTATATATAATTATTGTACTAGTATATATATTATTATAGTACATTATGAGTTGTTTCTTGAAAATTTTGAATTACCAAAAGGTCCTGCATTATAAATGAAGTGTAAGGTTACTAATGTAATTTTATTTATCAATGTAATTTTATTATTATGGTTACGATTCATATTTAATATACTTTTGTTCATTANCTTCTTCAAGTTTTATACATATTTATTTATGCAATAATTTATATTTTACTTGACAAAAATAGATTAATCTATTTGGTGTGCAAATGACTTGGACCGGGTTCGCACGACCTGATGTGCTTCTTGACCTATTTGTAGACCAGCAAAATCGGCCGGGAAGGGTTCTCTTCGTTAGCACTCCGACAATCAAGTTAGTCCGTAATGATGAAGACGATGAACAGTAGATATAAAGCACTGTATGTATAATAAAGTGTGTAGAGTGAAAATGTACATACCTCATCCCTTTATACAGTGGCGGATCTAGCTCATAATATGAGTGAGGGCCTACTTGTTTCTAGAAAAATAAATATAATACATCATAATAAAGTATAAATACAAAATAGACGTTCATAGAAATTCTTATAAGTTTTCAGAGCTTGGTATGACTTTACAATAAGGTCTTTACATTTTCTTTCGGCCTAACAATAATATTATAATTCACCTCAAGTATATTTGGAATAAAAGATGCTAATTTTGAAATACTTTCACATGCACTTTTTTGTCAAGACTACTTATAAAAGTATTTCTCCATAATTGAATATAAAAAATAAATTATAATGTATAAAATGCTTTATCTAATATATCAAGCTTTTAGGAGCACTACAAGTTATCAGTCACACACAAATTTAAATATGTTAATAGTCTTTTAAAAAACAATATTCAATTAACTGCAAGTTTAGATTTTTAATTTTTTACCAAATCTAATAAAAAATGACTAGATTTACTTTCACCAAGATAAACAAGAACAATGACTTTTTTTCTCATTATCTCTCTTTTTTTCCTTTCTTTGTGTTCCCATTGTTTTTTTTTTCATTTAATTAATTGAGCATTAAACTATTTTTTGAGTAAGGTATATAAGATAGTATTTTTTTTTCCTCCGCCCCTGCATTTATATATGGTGTTACCTTGTTTTCCAAGACTGCCCGAGCTACCCATTCGTACTGCCCGAACTGCCCAATTTTATTATGCCACATAGCATAATCCACGTGTGGTGCTAATAATCATTATATTCGTTCTTATCCATTAGCTTTCTTTGTTAGACGGTCTAATTGTGAGACCGACCCCAGTCGTCATGAGGTAGATCGTCTTCCTAGCTAGGCTCGTGTACTCTGCTTTCTGGTTGATCTATCGACCTGCGTGTCTCCAAGTCGAGTTTCTACTAGGCCATCCGAGGGTCCTAGCTCGACCTATCGATGTCTCTATCGACTTGGTGAATCCCTTAATCTCTGATCGACCTACCGGTTCACTCAGTTTAGTTGTCTTATTTCTCGGGCCAAGTCAACACGGTTTGGTATCCCAAATCATCTGGTACCCCCACTCTGGTCGAGTTAGGATGACTCGAGCTAAGAGTAAATCCGATTATTTTTGGTACCGCTTTGTGAGATTGTGCATTGCTTAACCGACCACTTTACTTTCGGTTTTTTTTTTTTTTTTATTTTTTTTTTTTTTTTATTACGGAATGACATTCAACCTCTGGCTGAGGTCCCAATTTCAAATTTTGAATTTCAAATCTCTACCACCTGTCAGATTAAACTAGTCTAAACGTTATGTTGACGTAACTGCCTCACAGTCCATGATGTCCTCTTGTAGTGTACCCATTAATGCTACATAAATGAAGCCCCTCTGGTTTTCCTTTAATTCAACGATCACAAATATTTTGTCTCATCATCTCATATAGCTTTACTTTCATCTGTTGATTCAGATCTTTATCTAACGGTCCTGCTCAACCTGTCTCTTCAACTCGTTCTTTAATGTTGATCGTCCACTTCGATCATGATCCAACGGTTGGGCTCGATAGACCTTTCAACATCCCTTATTCTTCACCTATAAATAGGACCCTTAGCCACCATTTTTGAGTTTTCCACCTTTCCGAAAATTCTCTTGCTATTATACTCTCCCAGCCTTTTGCAACCAAAGTTAATTTTTTGTCGTTGTGCTCTATCGTCGACCACTAGCAACTCCGACGCTGCCTCAATCGGCCATCAGCGACTCCGACGCTGCCTCCATCGACCAGGACATGAGCCCTCCGAGCTCTTTCATGATTTATTCTTCCTCTCTAGGAACTTTTCTTGAACCTACTCCTATTTCGTCTTGCCTTGCTCCTTGTCCATCTTCACCCTTTCTTTCTTTTTCTTGTGTTACATTCTCCACCTCTCGACCTCTCCAACTGGTCGATAAGTCCGACGAAGAGATTGATGAAGAAACTGAAGTTGATTCCCCTCCTCGATCTACCCCCATCAGGATTGCTGCAGTTCACTGGCCTAACATTTTAGCTGTATTAGTGATGATCAGCTCGATTCCTTTCTATTTGGGTGTGGCCTGCCCAAAGATTGAGAGTAGATTGAGAGTACATTTCTCCTCTACCTTCTGGCATCTTTGAGCGTCCCTCACTAGGTTGCTACATGTTCTTCTAGGACCAAGTGGAGCTCGGCCTCAGATTTCCCCTATACAATGGCCTGCTCGACCTCTACAGCGTTTTCGGCCTTCCCCTCAACCAGCTCTCTCCTAACGCTATCCAACACCTCGTTGTTCATTCT